TGAGCCACCGCCGGAGCCACTCCTCTGCGAAGACCCGCGACCAGCTCCACTGCCACCCTCGCCGCCTCCGCCGCCTCCGCCCCCTCCGCCTCCTCCTCCACCGCCGCCACCTGCGTCACCTCCGCTCCCACTGCCACCACCGCCGCCGCCTCCGCCTCCACTGCCGCCTCCGACCCCTCCACTCCCACCTCCACTCCCACCGCCACCCCCGCTCCCCCCGCCGCCTCCACCTCCACCTCCACCGCCCCCGCTCGCTCCTCCAGTGCCCCTGCCCCCCTTGCCCTTGCCACAGCGGCGTCTCCCGCTAGGGGCAGACGCCGCACCGACCGACTCAAGACCAAGGAGATCGGCCGCAGCAGCAGAGGCAACAGAGGGCAGATGGGGGGAGGGGGAACACCCCTCAAAGATGGGGGTGCGTGGGTCACCTCGAGAGGCCCCTAGAGCAACTATGCTCTTCTCTATTGCTAGGAGGGCCTTCTCGAGGAGGTCAACAGTGAGAGTGGTGGGACAGACTGAGAGGAAGTGGTCCCTCACTACACGAAGGGAGTCAGGGAGGCGAGTGACTATGTAGTAGAGAGTGATGTACATGGGGGGGGTTTCTTGGCGCAGAAGTCAGCAGGAAGCGCGGCGCGGTAGCGAGTGTCACTAGTGCGGAGGTGCGTAATGAGGTCAGCGACTGTGGGAAAGGCAGCAAGGTCAAGGAAGAGGTACGGTAGCATGAGGCGGCTCAGTGCAGCAGTGGCAGGGGAGGAGTAGCGTGCAACTACAGCATCGTACAAGGTCTGAGCACTCTTGTACTGACTAAAGTGCGCACGCTCGGAGGTAGGGAGGTGGCGATGCACAGCAAGGCGTGCAGCAGCGTCGCGCGTGGCCCACTGGGAGCGAACAGTGGCGTCAGCATTAACAGTAGGGGCAGGAGAGGCGCCAGAGGTGAGGTCAAAGAGAGAGAGACCATCTGCCCTATCGCACTATAAGAGCAGCTGCAAGTCATCCACCCCGACCTCAAAATCAATGGCTCAACCCTCAGCGTCAAAAGCGAGGACACTAGGGGTCGCCATGATCACACTAGGGAAAGGGCAGTGCAGTGACAGTGGCAGTGTGCTCACCAGACCGGGCTGCTCGGGCGGCTCGGCGGTAGGGCGGCTCAGCGGCTCGGCGCTCGGCTCGGCTCGGCGGCTCGGCTGCACGGCTGCTGGGCGGCTCGACTCGGCAGCTCGGGTGCACGGCTGCTGTGCGGCTCGGCGGCTGGGCGGCTCGGCTGCTCTGCCGGTGGGCGGCTCGGTTGTGCTGCTGCAGGGCGGCGCGGCGGTCGGCTGCTCGGCTAGGCAAGGCGGCTCGGGCGGCTCGGGTGGCGGGCGGCGCTGCAGCAGGTGACGGGGCCGAAGGTAGGGTGGCGGGGCCGTAAGGTAGGCGGCGGGGCCGCTAATAGGGTGGCCGGGCCGCAGTTAAGGTGGCGGGGCCGTAGGTAAGGCGGTGAAGCCGCGGTTAGGGCGGCGGGGCCACAGGTAAGGCGGCAGAGCCGCTGGTAGGGGGCGGGGCCGCAGAGGACGGCGGCGCACGGGCGGTGACGGGCCGGGACGGGCGGCGCACGGGCGGCGACGGGCCGGGACGGAGGCGCGGAGCCGGGACGGGCGGCGCACGGGCGACGACGGGCCGGGACGGTCGGCGCACGGGCGGCGATGGGCCGGTACGGGCGGCGACGGGCCGGTACGGGCGGCGACGGGCCGGGACGGGCAGCGTACAGGCGGCGATGGGCCGGGACGGAGGCGCGGGGCCGGGACGGGTGGCGCACGGGCGGCGCAGGCTGGGACGGGTGGCGCACGGGCGGCGACGGGCCGGTACGGGCGGCGACGGGCCGGGACGGGCGGCATACAGGCGGCGACGGGCCGGGACGGAGGCGCAGGGCCGGGACGGGCGGCGCACGGGCGGCGACGGGCCGGGACGGCGGCGCGGGGCCGGGACGGGCGGCGCAGGGTGGCGACGGGCCGCTAAGGGCGGCGACGGCCGAGCAAGGGCGGCGGAAGTTAGGCCGCTAGGGGCGACGCGACGGGATCGAAGGGGGGCGTAAGCGAGGCGCGCTCCGGGCCGGAAAAAAAAAAAACTTCGATTTTGGTGGGCCCTAGGAACAGTTCCCGCGAGGGAAACTGCTCTGATACCATGAGAAGAAACGAGAATGAATGAACTATGAATGAAGTGGGTACAAGTACTAACCCTAATTGGGTTGTACCCCCTATGGGATACCCCACTACAGCCTACACAAAAGTATAAGCTATAATGTTCTGACACGGTCCCAGCTTTTACGTAATAGAATCCCTTGGCCGCTGCAGACTGCTGCGAATTTCCTCCTGTGAAGAATGGGTCCATTTGATATCCGTGGGTAAATAGTCCTGTCAGTAGCAGGCTGGTCTGGGCGAGTAGTATCGCGTGGATCTGGGCAGTGGGGCGGGTCAGTGCGTCGGCGATGATTGAGGCTCCTTTTTCATAGGTGACTGTGTAGTGGAAGTTTGACTCGAGGAAATCGAGCCACTGAATCTGTCGTGGGTTGAGGTGGGGCTGTGCGCGGAGGTACTGTAGTGATCAGTGGTCTCTCCATACTGTCACGTCTGCGCCGGTCAAGTAGCAGCGCCACACTTTGAACACATGCAAGATCGCGAGCATTTCGCGGTCGTGTATCGGGTAATTTTGCTCGGGCAGATGCAGTTTTCGTGACTCGTATGCGATGGGCTGTAGGCCGTTGCCGAAGTCTTGTAGCTGTACGGCTCCAATGGCGATGTCGTTTGCATCAGTAACAACCTCGAAGGGGCGGTGTGGGTCGGCGATGCGCAGGACAGGCGGTGAACAGATAACATTTTTCAGGGCAGAGAAGGCAGCATGCTCTTTCTCCCCCCACGTAAAAGCGACCCCCTTTCGCAGTAAATCCGTCAGCGAGGCGGTCAATTGTGCCATGTCGGGGACGAACCGACGAACATAATTAACGAACCCTAAAAAACTCTGCAGTTCCGTAATGTTCGTCGGGGGACGCCACGCTTTTACCTTATCCAGCTTCTTTGGGTCGATTTCAACTCCCGCCTCCGAAATAACGTGCCCCAGAAATTCTAGTCTGTCCCAAAAAAACTCGCACTTAGAGCCCTTGGTGAGTAACCAATGTTCCTCTAAAACTTTAAATACTGCTTCGAGATCCGCTAAGTGCTGCTGCTTGTCGCGACTGTAAACGAGGATGTCGTCGAGGTAAACTATCACGCATTTATCTAAGAGTGGCATAAACGCCTCGTTCATGGTTATCTGAAATGTTGCGGGTGCGTTGGTCAGCCCGAAAGGCAGCACCGTGTACTCAAACGACCCGTACCAAGTCCTAAATGCTGTCTTGGCGCAGTCCGATGGTTCGACCCGAATCAGATGGTAACCCCCCCGTAAGTCTATTTTCGAAAACACCCGTGCTGTTCGCAGTTGGTCGATCAGTTCGTCGACGCGGGGAATGGGGTACCGCGACTTGACTGTTACCTTGCTGAGCGCTCGGTAATCGATGCACATGCAAAACCCTCCGTCTTTTTTCGGTGTGAACAGTATCAGTGCGGCGAACGGTGACGAACTTGGTCGAATAAACTGCTTCTCTAACAAATAATCTAACTGTTTCCTTAGTTCGTCGAGCTCGGGCTGTGTCAGTCTGAACTGGCGCTGTACAGTTAGTTGTGCCCCCGGTTCTAACTCGATCCTATGATCATGCGCCCGCTGAGGTGGCAGCCCTTCCGGTAAGTCGTCTGGAAAAATCCCCGGGTACCGTTTTAACAGTTCCTGTAGTTCGGGCGGTACAGCTGCCAACAGTTAATGAAAATCGCTAGGCTGCTCCGCTTCTCCTACTATTGCTATATCTACTGCGTACACGTCAGCTCCAGCGGCGACATCCCGTTTCATCGTGATGGCGTTGACGTGGACCGTTGAAGACTCGGGCGACTGCCAGCGAGGTAGCATGATGTCAAACTCATATGCTATAGTCAGTGTAGGCTGCACTGGGGTAGACAATATGGGGTACAACACTTCTAGGTTTTCCTACTTGTACCCACCTGCTTCCTAGTTCATTCATTCCTCATTATTCACATGGTATCAGAGTTGGTTCCCTAGTGGGAACGCTTCCTTGGGCCCACCACTGAAAAATTACTTTCTGACCGGAGCGCCAGTCGCTCCTGCCCGAGGCACGCCTTTTTGCCGCCCTTTCCAGGCCCCTAGTGGCCCCTAGCGGCCTCGTCGCCGCCCCTCGAGCGGCCCCGTTACCGCCCCTACGCGGCCCCGTCGCCGCCCTTAGCGGCCCCGTCGCCGCCCCTAGCGGCCCCGTCGCCGCCTCTCACCCTACACGGCCCCGTCGCCGCCCCTACGCGGCCCCGTCGCCGCCCCTCTGCGGCCCCGTCGCCGCCCTTAGCGGCCCCGTCGCCGCCCCTATCGACCCCGTCGCCGCCTCTCACCCTACGCGGCCCCGTCGCCGCCCCTAGAGGCCCCGTCGCCGCCCCTACCGGCCCCGTCGCCGCCTCTCACCCTAAGCGGCCCCGTCGCCGCCCCTAAGCGGCCCCGTCGCCGACCCTAAGCGGCCCCGTTACCGCCCCTACGTGGCCCTGTCGCTGCCTCTAAGCGGCCCTGTCGCCACCACTACACGGCCCCGTCGCCGCTCCCCTCCCTAAGCGGCCTCGTCGCCGCCCCTAACGGCCCCAACGCCGCCCCTACCGAGCAGCCCAGCAGCAGAGCCGCCGAGCCGCCCAGCAGCCGAGCCGCCCAGCAACCGAGCCGCAGAGCCGCCCAGCACTCGAGCCGACGAGCCGCCGAGGCACCCAGCAGCCGAGCCGCCGAGCCGCCCAGCAGCCGAACCGCCGAGCCGCTCGATAGCCGAGCCGCCCAGCAGCCGAGCCGCTGAGCAGCCAAGCCGCCTTGCCGTCGAGCCGCTCCTCGTCCTACTGACGCGCCCCTGCCCTACTCGGACTGGAGAGCTCACTCCTTGCTAGGCCACTGCAGTCATGGCTACCCCCAGTGTTCTTACCTTTGATACTGAGGGTCGTGCTGTTGACTTTGAGGTCTGGGTGGATGACCTCCAGCTGTTCCTCCAGTGCGATAGGGCAGACGGCCTCTCCCTGTTTGACCTCATCTCTGGTGCCTCCCCTGCCCCGCCTCCACTGTTCGCTCACAGTGGGCGACACGCAATGCTGCTGCCCGTCTTGCTGTGCGTCGCCACTTACCGAACACTGAGCGTGCGCACTTTAGCCAGTACAAGAGTGCTCAGACCTTGTACGATGCTGTAGTTGCACGCTACTCTTCCCCTGCCACTACTGCACTGAGCCGCCTCATGCTACCGTACCTCTTCCCTGACCTTGCTGCCTTTCCCACAGTCGCTGACCTCATTACGCACCTCCGCACTAGTGATACTCGCTACCGTGCTGCGCTTCCTACTGAGTTCTGCGCCAAGAACCCCCCCCCCCCCCCCCCCCCATGTACATCACCCTCTACTACATAGTCACCCGGCTCCCTGACTCCCTTCGCCTAGTCAGGGACCACTTCCTCTTAGTTTGCCCCACCACACTCACCGTTGACCTCCTCGAGGAGCGCCTCCTAGCAGCAGAGAAGAGCATAGTCGTTGTAGGAGCCTCTCGTGGTGACCCTCGCACCCCCGTCTTTGAGGGGTGTTCCCCCTCCCCCCTCTTGCCCTCTGTTGCTTCTGCTGCTGTTGCCGACCTCGTTGGTTTCTACGGGGTCGCCGCTGCGTCTGCCCCTAGCGAGAGACGCCGCACCGGCAAGGGCAAGGAGGGCAAGGGATCTGGAGGGGCTAGCAGGAGACACTATGTTTTTCCACGTGTTTTGCTGCTACCGCACCTACATTTCGACACCTAGAGGTAAGCCAGCATTGCAGGGAGCAATAATACATCGGTGCTCTGCTTATCTTGCTGAGATGTTCGTTTTTGTTTTTCTTTTTTTCCTCTTATGGATAACTGTGTATATGAGCAGCAGGGTTTCGTGCCTTCCAGGCTACGATCACTAACATTTCTTATGGCATTTCGTGTACCTGCAGGTCTGCTGAAGGTGTTTCAGCCGAAGATTGTTGCTTAGGGACTTCTAGATGTAGGCACATTGAGGATTGTGATTTGAGTTGTGTCTATCATATACACTTGCATTATACCAGTTTATAAAGTTGGCAAGATCCTACGAGGCAGAATGGAAGAAGGGGGGCATTATCGATGTGACGTGAAGGACTGCATTGCAAAATTTCCTACTTCGTTGGCAAAGGCATGGCATATGTCGATGGAAAAGCACAAGTTCAAGGCTCCTGATGCAACTCCAGAGCTGAGAAACGAAAGCAGCCAGGGCGGAGCTGCAGAGGCGCTCCAAGCTGCAGCAGAGCGCATTCGCACGAGAACAACTAAACGTACCCGCAGTGAAGTGCAGGCAGAGAGTAGTCGCATGGCAGAGAACGTGGGCGCTGCAGAGATGAACGAGGACCCAACAGGGTATCGCTTCTCCTCCGGTGGTGACACATCGAAGGTGGATCCCGACGCACGCGTATATCGTTTTGTAAGGACGGCTGCAGGAGGTTCCGGACTCTCAAGGGTGGATATTAAGGAGTTGATATCCATCCTCATAGAGGTGTTGAGCAATCCCGGGCGTCTAACCATAAATTCCCTTGCCGCATTTGATGGCTACGAGAAGTTGCAACTCGCCGATGCCAATTTGCACCCTTTTGAGCAGGTTAATCTTGCGAAGGAGGGGGATTTGGAGCCGGTGATCATGTGGCGTCGTTCTGCACTGAACTGCGTGGCAAGCCTATACGAGAACGTGGCGAACGCGGACAGCTTCGTTGTGAAACCACCGCCACCCAACAGAGACCCTGAAGCTAAGCGCATATACAAGGGTCCTGAGACGGGGAGCTGGTGGCGAGAAGTCCTGGCCGAATTGCCACAAGGGGCGTCAGTAGCTGCGGTGATTATATACTCCGACGAAACGACACTCACCATCGATGGAGGACTCAAGGGATGGCCAGTGTACATCTCACTGGCCAACATTGCTTCGGGTAATCGTTGGAAATTGCACGGCCATCGACTTGTCGCGCTGTTACCCGACGACGACGGCGGCTTCTACGCGAAAGGGAATGAAGAGCGTCGGCGGCTTGAAGTATTCCAGGAGGCCCTGAATCTCATCATGGAAGACTTGAAGGCCGGGCAGTACAAGTAAGTGCGTTATTCACGCGATTACACCTTGTTTTATGTATGCAATGCTCGTCGATAGATACTCGCGCTTGTGATGTTTCACTAACGACGAGCTGCGTACATTTTCATTGCTTGTGCAGCAGTATGATACTCACGGACCCATATGGCATTCGTCGAAAGGTTTATCCAATGACGTACGCGTACGTCGGCGACTACCCAGAGCAGTGCAAGGTCGCCGGAACCAAGTCGGGCATCAAGACAAAGTTCCTATGTCCGAGATGCGCCGTACCAAAGGAGGAGCTCAACAACATGGAATACCCATTGGAGTACAGGAGGGAGGAGCGTCAAAAGTAGCTTGTGGGCGAGATGGAGCGTGCTTGTACGAAAGAAGCGCGCACGGACCTCGAGCGTGCACACAGTACCCACTGCATTAATGTAAGTGACGTTGCGTTTGCACCTAGGGTTTCGATATACTGTTGCATATGTTATGCAATAGTGTTGGTGTGATGGCTGGGATTCTGACAGGTACTTTATCACAACCCATCCGTTTGTATATGTGCAGAGCGCATTGTGGGGACAACGATTTGCTGATATGGATTTTGCCAATCCTTATCGGCAAATCACATCCGACTTCATGCACATGTCGCTGGTGGGTGTGTACAAGCACATCTTAGAAGGTCTCAAGTCGAAGCTCAGTACAGAGAGGCTCCAAAAACTGGATGCTGCGCTCAAGACCATCACCTAGTATAGCAGACAGTCATTTTTTCGACTACCGGCGCACTCCGACGGATACTTCAGTGGGATGGCACTTTCAAGGCCTTCCATCATCAGGCAGTCATGCAAGTGCTACCAGTGCTCTTGTTGATGGTCAAGGTGGATGACAAAACGATCCGAGCAGTGGAGTTGTTCTGCCACTGGCATTCCGAGGCGTGGCATCGGACGTACCACGATGACGACTCGTTGGAGAACCTCGACAATCTCACACGCACGTGAGTAAAAGTGGTTGTGATTGCTTGTCGTCCGTACTTGCCGCTGTATGGTTGTTCGGTTGCATCCTTAAATGTTTTCCTGTATAGTAATGTATCACTGATCACCGTTTACGTTCATATACGTGCAGGTTGGTACCGATGCTCATGACGGAGTTCGAGGCGGACCAGAAGTCGCACTTCAACGTCCCCAAGATTCACGCGATGCTGCATGTTACCGACGACATCAGGCGGCGAGGCATCCCAATTCACTACTGCACGGATGTATATGAGCATGTGCACGTCGCCATAATGAAGCGGCCGTACCGCGCGTCGAACAAGAGGAACGCCGAGGCAGCGATCACTCAACGCTGCCTCATTTCCGAGCTAATCGAGAAGATGACCGCGTCCATCGAGGAGGCTAGCGACAATCAAGCACGATGCGTTGCTTTGCAACAGGTTCGTGCATTGGGGTGTGTGTGTCTGAGTGTGTGTATTTGTGGGTGTGTGTGCGACTGTGCGTAAGTGTATGTGTGTGTGTGCACGAGTGTGCGCGTGTGTAGGGTGTGTGTGTGTGAGTGTGTGTGTATGTATGTGGGTGTGTATGTACGGGTGTGTGCGAGTGTGTGTGCATGTGTGTGTGCGAGTACGAGCGTGTGTGTGTGTGTGTGTTTGTGTGTGTGTGTGTGTGAGTGTGCGGGTGGGGATGTGTGTGTAGGAATGTGTGTATTTGTACGTGTGTGCGAGTGTGCGTGAGTGTATGTGTGCGAGTGTGCAGATGGGGGTGTGTGTGGGGGGGTGTGTATGTGTGAATGTGTATGAGAGTGTGTGTGTGCGAGTGTGTATGTGGGGGTGTGTGTGTACGTGCAAGTGTGTGTGTGCAAGTGTGTGTGTGTGTGTGAATGTGTGTGTATGTATGTGCAAGTGTGTGTGTATGAGTGTGTGTGTATGAGTGTGTGCGAGTGTGTGTGTGTGTGCGAGTGCGAGCGTGTGTGTATGTGTGTGTGCAAATGCGAGTGTGTGTGTGTATGTGTGCGAGTGCGAGTGTGTGTGTGTATGTGTGCGAATGTGTGGATGGGGGTGTGTGGGGGGGGGTGTGAATGTGTGAATGTGTATGAGAGTGTATGTGTGCGAGTGTATATGTGGGGGTGTGTGTGTACGTGCAAGTGTGTGTATGCGAGTGTGCGGGTGGGGATGTGTGTGTAGGAATGTGTGTATTTGTACGTGTGTGCGAGTGTGCGTGAGTGTATGTGTGCGAGTGTGTGGATGGGGGTGTGCGTGGGGGGGTGTGTATGTGTGAATGTGTATGAGAGTGTGTGTGTGTGCGAGTGTGTATGTGGGGGTGTGTGTGTACGTGCAAGTGTGTGTGTGTGCAAGTGTGTGTGTGAATGTGTGTGTATGTATGTGCAAGTGTGTGTGTATGAGTGTGTGCGAATGTGTGTGTGTGTGTGCGAGTGCAAGTGTGTGTATATGTGTATGTGTGAATGCGAGTGTGTGTGTGTATGTGTGCGAGTGCGAGTGTGTGTGTGTGTGTGTATGTGTGCGAATGTGTGGATGGGGGTGTGTGTGGGGGGGTGTGTATGTGTGAATGTGTATGAGAGTGTGTGTGTGCGAGTGTGTATGTGGGGGTGTATGTGTACGTGCAAGTGTGTGTGTGCGAGTGTGTGTGTGTGAATGTGTGTGTATGTATGTGCAAGTGTGTGTGTATGAGTGTGTACGAGTGTGTGTGTGTGTGCGAGTGCGAGCGTATGTGTATGTGTGTGTGCGAATGCGAGTGTGTGTGTGTGTATGTGTGCAAGTGCGAGTGTGTGTGTGTGTATGTGTGCGAGTGTGTGGGTGGGGGTGTGTGTGGGGGGGTGTGTATGTGTGAATGTGTATGAGAGTGTGTGTGCGACCGTGTATATGGGGGTGTGTGTGTATGTGCGAATATGTGTGTGGGAGTGTGTGTGTGGGAGTGTGTGTATGTGAATATGTGTGCGAGTGTCTGTGTGTGTGTATGTGCAAGTGTGTGTGTGTATGAGTGTCTGCAAGAGTGTGTATGTGTACGAGCGGAAGCGTGCGTGTATGTGTGTGTGTGCGAATGCGAGTGTGTGTGTGTAAGTGTGTGTGTGCGAGTGTGTGTGTGTGTGTGTATGTATGTGCAAGTGTATAGGAGTGTGTGCGTGCGAGTGTGTGTGTGTGCGTATGTGTGTGTGAGTGTGCGTGTGTGTATGTGTGTGTGTGTGTGTGAGAGAGAGAATGTGTATGTGAGTATGTATATGTGTGTGTGGAGGGAGTTGTATGTGTGGGTGTGAGTGTGTGTGTTTGCACATCCGTCGAAGATTACACGAGGATCTGTTTCTCTCATCACTTGATATCTTACTGTAGTTATTGGCTTTATTTGTGTGAGCAGGCAATCGAGAGCAGACGTCCAACAGTGTCAGCATTGTCATCACGTCTGGTGCTCGGGGATTCAAACGACAAGAACTTCAAAGCGTACCGGGCGAGCATTCCGGCCGACTTTCGACTTCTGGAGGGGACCATTAAAGCGTACCTTAATGGAGAGCATCCTGGCGAGCATACTAAGGTGCACTACCATCGCGTGATCGAGGTGCACTCTGGTGTCGCTGTGCCGCCTGACGATGATTTCACGAGGTATAGTAGATACCCGCAGTATGCACGCGCTACACCGATGTTCTACGGGAAGCCCTGGTTTTCCGATGTCACAATCGAGGGTGAGGACGACAACAAAGTCAAGCAGATTTGGCGAGCAAAACTCCTTTGTGTGTTTACGCTGCGACGGACAGTGGAGACGGTTGATGTTTCCGGCGACACAACGGAAGAGCAGATTACGGAGCAACTCGCATTCTGCTGTTATTACAGTGAGACCGCACAGTCTCCGACGACTGACATGAAGTCACTAAAGTGGTGGCCATCAGGCCGTGGTTATGGGGTGCTGCCGGTTGAGAGTATATTGCGTGTGATTCATGTCGTACCCAACACAGTAGATCCGGCTCATCCCAACGTAAAATTTATCCTGAACCATTTTAGATGGTAGGTTGTATATTCTGTAAATATTGTAACTAGTTCTTGGGCACAAAATAACTGCTACATGGCTTTGCTTGAATTAGAAAGATTATATAAACTTTAGGTATAGCCATATTACACCCTATCAAATTTTGGTAAAGTTGGATGCGTCTGTGTTTCTGAACGCGATTTTAGCGGCTAGTAGTATACGGAGTAGACTTTGTGCCTCGGGCAGCTGTGCAGTATTCGGCTGCTGATTCGACTGCAAGAGGCACTGGCGACAGCTCAGCGAGTAAGCCCGCTTGAACAACTGGCCAAACATCTGTGATTGTTTTTTTTTTTTGCCTTTTATTTTGCACGGTGACAGCTCAGCGGGTAAGCCAGCCTGTACGATTGGCCAGTCAGTTCGGCTTTTTTGTGTTTTTTCCTTTTGCCCTCTATCATTACGGTTCTAGCTGCCAGAACAGTACAAGTATTGCTGGAGCTGTCTTCATTGGCCTTGCGAGTGTACTACCGCGGTGGATTATTCCATCGTGCGGGCAGAACAGCTGATTTCCCAGTCCAACACCTGCTTCACGTCACTGCTACACATTACCCTTTGCTTCGTGCAACTGCCCGCGACATGACTAAACCTGTCTGCGTGGATGCTGTAAAGTTCTTGTCAGCAAAAAAATGCACCGCGTCAACACTTTGCTTGCTTCACTGTTTCAAAAGCGACAAACAAGGCAATACGAAATTCAGAGCTACACCTGCCCATACACAGTTCGAGTCCTCCATCGGGGCAAGAAGAAAAGATTCCACCTGTGCAAGGTTGGCGAAATCCGCCGCGTTGTCACGTGATTCGAGGCAGACACGAACCCCACCTTCCTCTCTGCTACCCCCATGACTCTCTCCATCTTTAGTACCCTCACACACCCTCTCTTCCCCCTCTCCCTTTCCTTCTCCTCTCAAACGACCTCGTTCCTGCTCTGCCTTCGTGTTTCATTTTGGAAATTCAAATTTCGAGTTTCAAAGTCAACTTTCCTCCGCCTTGGCCGAGATTATCCGATCGCGC